ATTTTTTTCCCAGTCTCTATCTACTGGAATTCTCCATTTTCTCTTCGACTCTTCCTTCAACTTTCCAGTCTTTTTCCTACCCCTTCGTCCAAATGGGCAGTCAAAAGTCAGCAGCCAAAACCATGCATGGTTAACGATTGAACAAACTGAGCCGCAGCTGAAACTGGTGGTGATTACGGCTGTTTTACTCCAACTATTACATCTCATTCCTGCAGGTTCCCCTAGTCCCTTAAACTTTTTTCTAAATGGATGTCAGTCATTTTGTTGCTGTTCGGTTGGGTTTGCTAACAAACGAATGCTTGCTATCCGGTTGATTGTTCTTCAGGTGTGCCGAGACAATAAATATACATATCGAAGAAATTCCAGGGCAATGCTTGATGATTTTTCAACACTGATCGTCGAATGATTTTTCCATTCATCATTGTTCTTTCAATTTGTACGTTTGGTCATGCTTATTCAGCTACTTGAATTTAAACGTAGTAATACCAAGTTATTTTTTCTTTGCCTTTTTTCAGACTTGTTTTGAATGCGGTACACCAAACCCACAATGGGCGAGTGTCACTTACGGGATCTGGATTTGCTTGGAATGTTCTGGAAAGCATCGCGGACTCGGAGTTCACTTAAGGTAGCCTCTTAAAGATACTAGACTAACATTTAGAAAACTTCCTTTTTTTCTTATCTATTGCTCTAGAAAGTATTTAAGGTTCAAGCCGGAAGCCCCAAATTATCCAATCAGAGAAAGTTTTTTTGCTGTCCACTGAACTCGTTTCACTGGTTTGATATGAGTTGCTTGCAGCTATCGCCTTGTCTTGTTAGATCATTTTGACCATTGTGGCTAGGACTACGTAGGTCACTTGATTTGCACATGGGCTCCTGTTTTTCCGTTGAGGCATTATTGTATGTGTCGGAAAGATGACAGCTTCAATTCAAGAGTGTTTTGGTACCATATTCCATTCCCCACGTTATCGCGAGAGGTCGTTCTGCCATACTGAGGCTAAGCAAAAGACACTGAGTGGTCATGCTCTAGCACCAAGTTATGTTAATGAGGTGTGTTACTCCAAATGAGCCTCATTGGAGTTAAGTTCTCACCAGAAAAATGATGCATACAAGTATGGTGGGAAGGAAGGTCCTTATCAATGAAAGTAAATTATGTGATCGCAATCTAAGGGAAATAAACCGACATTAATCAACCAGGGGAGCGACTCCCCTGACAAACTCCTTGTTAGAAGTACACGGTTTCAGCTTCAGTTTGTACAACCATTAACCATGCACTTTCGTACGCCGGTTTTTGTTGCTTTCTTTTGGCTGCCCTTTTGGATGAAGACTAGGAGAAGACAGGGAAGTTGAAAGTAGAATCGAACAGAAACTGGAAAGTTTCAGTGGTCTAAGGTTGCGAAGAAATTGAGAAGATGCACGAACGCCACTGTTTACGACACTCAGCCATATCACTCAGTGTCTCTAACCCTGGGTTACGATCATCCCGAGGTCCCCATCCAGGGGGCCTAACGGGACCTATGCAACTCAGTCCCTTGGCCAGGGTTTTCATACCCTCGTGTTTGGTCTTAGCTTGACCACCCTTGGCTTTTTTCCACCCAATACCGAATCAGAACTGACCGAACTTCCGCGGCATATACTCGACTCTTCACAGACAGCCGAATGTCGCGACGGCGTCACACATGTCTCAAGTTGGCAAATGCCAACCGAGCGTTCTGTATGCGAGCTGACACTTCATCCGTGATGCGTCCACCGGGTGAGATGTAGCTGCTCAGATAAAAAAACTTATCCACCTACTCTCTTACTTCCCCAGTTTGAGTGGGTCTAGGTGCTCGACCAAACCAGTCTTGTGGTAGAAATACGCAATGGACTCTCGAGTGAGGCCCCCTTTACACTTTTTTCAAAGACAGTTGTTTCTTGAAAACTCCGTGAGAAGATATGGTATATAGAAGACTAAGCCGTGTTCTTGATTGCACCAAGTATCTGCATGCACATAAGGGATAAACTACGGAAGCTGGCCTGAATAATGTTGATTTCTTCTTTCAATTGCGTCTGTGGAACAACGCACCTAGATCACTCGATTAGGTAATTATCAGAATATGTCGATGAATGTAATCAGAAATGGCTTATAGAACTAAAACTGGACACCATATTTAGTATACGACGAGATTAAGCAAGGATCGCAAAATGGAAGTGGATCGATGCACGCCGCAGTCGGTTTCAAACGCACTGCTAAGCTCGATCCGGCTTATGCCAGTATTGCTACATCAATGGGTTAGCATACTTCGGCCTTATTCTTTTTCGAGAAGAAAGAGAGCGCATTGGACGTTCACGGTCGACAGGATCGAAGTCTCCTTTATGGCCAATAAACTCTGCGTTTGTTCCTCGAAGACTTGGCGCTACATAAATATTTGATGGAATCAACCTCCGCCTGGTCGGAATCACGCCTGTTGTTCACGAATATTCGTTTCTCTAACGGGCATTAGACGGTGATATATATGTATATCGCACCGGCGGAAACGGGGTTTCAACAAACAAACTGTATAACAATCGCTCTACTAAGTTCTATTCTGAGTCATATCTCTTGGCGTCTCTAGCTATCGACAGTCTTTATCCCTAGCCTGGTCTCGCAACAGTGAAGCAAAATACTACAAACCGCGGCAATGTACATCCTTTAAGCGACAGTAGCATTTCATGGTGGCGCCACAGGTGTCGCTTGTTGGCGAAAGCTGCTGTAGCTTGCAGTGTTCGTGATGTGATCCCATTTTCAACGCCCTCTAGTTGCGATTAGGCTCCCGAGGTACTTGAGGCTGTCGACTATCTTTAACTGCTTACCCCAGGGGATGGGTACAGACACAGGCTCCTGCAAGCCTTGTACAAACACTGCTTTCCGATGGTTCAGTGCGCATGTCATCCCTGGATACCTTCGTCGCCAAACGATTTAAAACATGTTGGCCTGCCTGTGTGTTGTCACCCAGCAAGGCGATTTCATCAGCATGGTCTGTGTCAAGAATTCTGAGAGGATTTCAAGTCGACCGTTTGCTAGACCAGACGAAGAATCCTGTAGGACA